TTGGAATAAAATGAGAAAGTTTAAATAGGGCTTCTAAAACATACTCATTGTACTAGATGGAGAGTGTATATTTCCAAAACTTCCATCATTAGGATTGATGTTAACATGACCCAAGGAGCCCATTTTCTCACATGCCACTTCCCACTGTGTTAATAGGAAGTTCCTTCTTACTCTGGCGGGAAGATGACTCTCCAAAGTGTATTCTATTCTTCTCAAAACGAGATCTTTTGTCTAACGCACTTTAAGTAATTCTGCAAAGGAACAAAAATTTGCATCCAAAACATGCAAATTTTTAAGAAATTAGAATGGAGCCTTCAATATCAGAGGTATGGATCCTGTGACTTTTAAGACATAAATTAGAAAGCATTGAATTTTTCAGTAGATACAATAGGAACCAAAATAGTTCTTTCTCATTTTTTTGTTCTTCTCCTATCCCCGTTATTCTTTTTCCTTGTATTTCTTTAGCACCATATTTCACACTTAGTAAAATCAATGCTTGATAAATATTTGTACATCTTTCCTATAATCAGTTACTGAGTAACTGCAGTGCAAAATCCAACCAATGTGATACTATGATATATGAATCAAAAATTTCTCCTTGTCCTAAAAGAGTGAAAGTCCGGCAGATGTTTACCTAGAGAAAGTGGAAGGGTCATCCTTGAGGGGAGGAATGACTCAGACCACACGCAGAAAGCTCCCTGTGAATGAGTTGTGGTCCGTGAAACAAAGGACAGCCTTTCATTTCATCAGCTCAGAGTCTATGCTCCATGGAGGTACACAGAGTACCAGATATTTTGAAAGAGGCAAAGACTGGTATCAACAAACCTTACAGAGGGTTCTGGAATATCTCTGTAGTGTCATGTGTGAAATTCTGCCTTTCCTAAGGCTACTAAAGAATATGAATGATAGCTCTTATTTGTATATTTCCATTTCTAGAAATTTGTGTCTGCAGTTAACTCTGGGCTTGAAAGCATCTCTTATAGATTGAAGAATTGGCTCACCATTTATTTTATTACTCATTTATTTATTTGCCTAATGTGAGTCATGTATCAACTCACTTACTGCAAAGCACCACTCTGTGAAGAAGGTATCTTCTCCTGTTTAGAGAGGAGACGGAGATTATGAATAGTTGCATAATTTCAATGAGATTCCACCAGTGAGACCCTACTCTGATTATGCTTCTTCCACTTTATGTACTGCTACTCTGACAGACACAGAATCCCAGGAAACAGCGTGGTTTATGGATCTACTTCCCAGGTATTAGCCCAAACCATGACATTCTGCAAATTTACATAGTACACTGGATCCTAAAATTTCAGTTGTTACTCCAGGTTTGCTTTCTTAACCCAGTCTAGTTTTTTTTTGCAATTATTTTCTCTTAATTGACTTAAGGAAAGAGCCTATATTAGTTTCTTTTTTAAGTGTTGCCCTTTATTGCTGCTGATGTTACTATATATCACACAGTGCAATGAGTGACTGAGAGGAGAGGGGAGAATTTGAGGGAAGCTTAGAGGACTGGAGGAAAGCAAGCAGAATCTTTGCAACTAGAGATGGTGTGGTGTGGCTCTGGAATGTGTGCGTGTGGCGGCGAGGTGGGGTGGAGCAAGCATCTTCTGAGAACATTCCTGAACATGGTGTGCTTTCAGGTTTGTTTTGTTTTTAAATGTAATCTTTAGCTATGTAACAAATTTTAAAATTGTTAAAATGTAATTAATTTTAACTATGGTTAAAAAAAGATCATATGTTATTCAATATTAATATACAATTGAGTGTGTCCAGGAAATCTTTGAACCTGCAATGGTGAGTTCACGAGACAGAGAAAAGTTGGTGGAAAAATAAACACCTAAAATAATGGTGCCAGAGGTGCAGTTATCATGCCCCCAACTGCTCCCCCTTCTCAGCTTTATTTTTAATCACTCAAGCTGGGATCATCTATGTTTTTGTTTCTACTAATAGGAAACCCAGATGTACTTGTTGAGGGACAAGAGAACCAAGGAAAAATGTATTATCATGTCCAGATAATAATGATAGCATTACAGATTTTTAAATATAGATTTATTAAGCACTTATTATGTGTCAGGCCCCATAATAAGTGCTTTATATGCACTTTAATGTGATATTAAAGTGTCACAAAACCTATTATAATTCCCATTTTACAGATTAAGTAACAAAGGCACAGATAGACTAAGAGCATGACTAAATCACACCTATGTAAGTGATGAGGTTAGGACATGAACTCAGGCAGCCACACTAGGACCCATGTTCTTTATGATGAGATTATGAATGCGTGTGGAGCCAAAGAATAAACAGCCAGAAACCCATGCCATGCCCTTAAGCGACAGAGCAGAAAAGAGTTTGCTAGAAAATAAAGGTGGATTAAAAACTCATCAGGAGGTCTTGGGGCACCTGGGTGGCTCAGTCGGCTAAGTGTCTGTCTTTGGCTCAGGTCATGAGTGCTCGCTTCGGCAGCACATATACTAAAATTGGCTCAGGTCATGATCCCAGGGTCCTGGATCAAGCCCCGCATCAGGGTCCCTGCTCAGTGGAGACTCTGCTTCTCCCTCTCCCTCTGCTCCTCACCCTCCCCCTGCTCAGGCTCTGTCGCTCTCTCTTAAATAAATAAATAAATAAATAAATAAATAAATAAAATCTTTATTTAAAAAAAACTTATCAGGAAGTCTATAAAGAAGATGGGAGATGGAGGCTTCTTATTCCCTGGCTTTCTGGAGAGGTCTAATTCCTTATCATCTTATTTAATAAATCATATTTCCTTAGATCTATTTCACGATATGAAATTATATATAATACATATATAATAAATACATATATAATATACATTAAGGCATTGTACATATGTATATATAATATAGGCATCTATAAGATGTTCAAGTCAGTTGTCTATTAAAATAAAAATAATCACAATTTTGAGTTCAGAAAATTGAGTACACAGGAGGCATTCGATGATGTCACTATCACACAAATGATGTGAGAGCCCTTGATCCCTGATACTTAGTGGTCTGCACACACATGTGTTGACAAAGCATGCCATATTTACCATCCCATCCAGTCCTCACAACAGTCTTATTATCCAATACTAATATCATCCCTTTTTTTTTTTAAGATTTTTTTTTATTATTTGAGAGAGAGAGTGAATGAGAGAACACACAAGCAGGAGGGGGGCAGAGGGACAAGCAGACTCCCTGCTGAGCGGGGAGCCCGATGATGGGGGGCTCGATTCCAGGACCCTGAGATCATGACCTGAGCTTAAGTCAGATACTTAACTGACTGAGCCACCCAAACACCCTATCATCCCTGTTTTATACATGAATAAGATCAGCCCTTCCTCTAGCTAGCTGGTGTACACATAGACTTCAGAGGGAATCAAACATGAATATTCATTTTGGTTCTGGTATGTACTAGTTAGGTTACTTAAAATGTCCTCTAAGGGTTTCGTTCTTCTTTTCTTCATTCCATAAGCAACCAAAGAGAAGAGGACGGAAGAAGGAAGAGGCATCTAGCACTGTGCTTGGTCCACATTTGGTGTTGAATGCATGCTTGTTGATGATGCTGAGTCAGGATTTCTGGGATGTTTAGCAATTCTTGGGAACCTTTATCATAATGTCTGCTAGGCAATAAAATGTCTGAAATGTCTACACAGGCAGCAAGGGACTTCTTGAAATCTAGTTGAGGTAGACTTTAAACTGAATTTCAACAAAGTCATTTGTCCCCCATCAAGTTCCTCCCGTTGTGTAATCTCGTAATATTATGACATTCTTACCTGCGATCTTACTAAAGGGCTGTATTTATAGCCTATTTTATAAATTCTCATGACTCACCCCATAAAGTCTGTCATCAACTGGAACTTTAAAAAATGAGAAAAATATCTCCGCCTCTGTTAGAGTTAGGAGATTTAAATGATGCCCAAATGTTTTTCTAGTTTTCTCCTATTTATAAACTGTTAAGAAAGGGGCCTTCTTCACCGCCTTCCAAGTAGGAAATGATAAATGATAAATGATCAATAGTAGATGATAAATGATAAATGGTCCCTATTTCCATTCTGTCCTGTTTCTTATAAATGGTCCCTGTTTCCATTCTATCCTGTTTTAGTGTATTTCACTACTTACTTACGGGCCAATTTTTCTAATTATGCCTTGGGTTCCTTAAGACACTTACCTTATTGGATTCAGGATTCCATAACCAAAACACAGATCTTGATGTATAAAGAGAATAGCAATAAATGTTGGGAAAAAAAAATTTCTGTATTATCTTGATGCCTAGTGTTCCTGACATGCAGCTGGTTCTAGATACAGGCTACCTTAATGATGTCTTATCTGAGTTTTCTCAAAAGAGGAACAACTAACCTGTGCATTTAAAATTGTTAATTTCATAGACTCTAGTGTTGTAAAGCTGCTAAAATATCCATTCCGACTTTTAAAAATTATTACTAGAGCATCAGCAACCATCTTATTTCTATGGACATAAACTAATAGGAATCCCAAATATGTACTTAACATGAAAACAAAGCAGCAGCAACAATAACAACACATACATGTTGTCTAGTCAAATATGTATTTAACATAAACACACATTTCTTTGAACTGCCATAAGTAACATGCTGCCTAGCACCATACTGCTTTGCGTTTGAGTTTGTTTTATGTGATATTTTGTGGCAACTGCTAATTATCATAAGCTGTCCAATAAATGTGATGGATTGTCCAATTAACTCTTCATCAGCATCTGTTTTTGAAGATGCTACCTATTGAAACTGATGGCAGTTTATGACCTCCATGTTGCATATATAGCTAATTACTCCTTGGACAATAATTATTAAGTTTCTTGTGCCTCATTCAGTCATTTTATTTTACAAATTATGATGCCACTGAGTTTCCCAATCCACTTGACTTCCCAACTATGACTCTCCAAGGATTACTAAAGGTCTGCTGTGGAATATATGGATCATATAAACATTGACGTAGATTACAGATGTATCTGTTTTGTAGGTTTTCCATCGACCGGCACACTGACCTGGAGAGACAATTCAACATTAATGCAGATGATGGAAAGATAACGCTGGCAACACCACTTGACAGAGAATTAAGTGTATGGCATAACATAACAATCATTGCTACTGAAATTAGTAAGTGCCTGGGTTTAATTTCTTCCTTGTGTGACTGGGTTCAATTTATGCCTAGGGATCATATGGTTAATGTGATCCCTGTTTCCATCAGATATTTTGGCATTGGAACTTATTTTATTATTCCCAAGGAGTCTTTGAATCAATTATCTGAATAAGAAATAACTTGCCCAGTGCTAAAATACCAAAGGTTGCAATTTATGTGGGAAGGAAACATTCTTATATCCAAATACCCTTATATCATATACCCGTTATTCAGCCATTAAAAATAATGTTTTGCATACTAAAATATGGGGAAAGATTTAGTAGGAAAGGGTAGGTCAAAAAATAGTACTCAGGAATTATATACTACAATTTAAATAAATGGACCAAACGTATATATACAATTATAGAAACTGCTGCTCACATATTTAGACGACATCCATCATATTCACATATGCAGACAGAAAATATAGAAGGAAACTTCATACTATCAATACATATTATTTTGGAGAGATGAAATTATAGATGATTTTTTTGTTTTGTTTTTAGAGTTTAATATAGTTTACACAGTAACCATAGACTAAGACTGTAACTTTTATATAATCGTTATTGTAAATTAAATGTGAAGATATAAGCTTTTTTAAAAAAAAATTTTTAGAGGATATTACAGGATTGTTAAAATAACATATGGTAGCCTTTCAATTAATTTTCAGTGAGCACAGCTTCTTTGATTTCACGTAATGGTACTGCTAGTGAGTCTCAAACCAGCGGCTATATGGTGGAATTTAGTGATACACCATCTTTGAAAATTTGCACTCTGCCTCACCAATTGTTTATTATACAAAAACATGCCAAAGGAACGTAATATTCATTTTATTTCCAAACAAAATACATTTTGCATATTATCTGATGTCCTTCTTTCGGTAAAGGACCTGATAAGGCCTTTACAGTTGACACAGATTCAAGGGAGATAGTAAATTCTTAAAGGAGTTGGGAATCTGAATAAGGAAATAAAAATCAACATAAAGAAAAATTCATCAGCGTACACACAATATAGAGTGGATATATGACAATAGTAGGATGTGGGACCTAAGATCTGCTCTATACTCTCTCTAAAATCTGCTCTGTGTTTTCACAGCTAATGTGAGAACAGGGCAAACATCTCTGAAGTACATGATTATTTTGTTTGTATAAACAAGAAAAATCCATGCCTTTAGGAAGGGCACAGCTTTTCCTTGTTCTGAGATATGGGGGAAATGTCCTCCATGGAGCCTTATTAAAAAACAAAGAAAACAAACAAACAAAAACACTGTGCAAAAAAGTGAAGATTTAAGAGTGAAGAATATCTGTTTTTTTATAGCAACCTTGAATGCAAGCAGAGAACATGCAGCAGTCAGGTTAAGAGGTAACTTCAGGGCGCTGGGTGGCTCAGTTGGTTAAGCGACTGCCTTCGGCTCAGGTCATGATCCTGGAGTCCCGGGATCGAGTCCTGCATCGGGCTCCCTGCTTGGCAGGGAGTCTGCTTCTCCCTCTGACCCTCCCCCCTCTCATGCTCTCTCTCATTCTCTCTCTCAAATAAATAAATAAAATCTTTAAAAAAAAAAAAAAGAGGTAACTTCAACCCTACCAAATGGATGGTTCTGGAGAGAGGAGGAACTTTGGAAACTGGTGTTTTTCTGGGTTAGGAGTAGTATTCTCTTCCCTGGTGTGTTATTCTGGTCGCAGTTTCCCCTTGTTAACAGTAAGGGATAGAGCAAACAAACTATACCACTTGGTAACTGGTTTATTAGAAAGGTTAACCCCATCTAGAGAGGTACAGACGTGGAATTTTTATAATTTACAATGTTGAAGCCACATTATTGCTTTAAGCCTCTGAGAAAAACTGTGTACATTAGATTGCTTTAGGGCTTTATAAAAATACTCTAAAGGATCACAGTTTTCTTTAAAGTACATAGGCAGTAATTACTTTTTAAAGAACCTCCTCATATTGAATACAACCTAGTTGAGTTAGCCTTAATCCATGACACTTTTTTTTTTATGAGATGGATGCCTTAATATTCATCAAGGAGGTCCTAATTATAAGGATCTATGGTACTCTATTCTAAGGAATAAAAATAAAAGCATACGCAGAGCATGTGGTTAAGAAACATTTCAGGGCCAATACAGAAACAAAAGACTCATTTGCAAGGCATCACAGACAAGTAAGAAGACAGACACAAAAGCAGATGCTCCAAGGTAATGAGCTGTTAACTCCAGGGTGACAGGGTACCAACCCAAGTCTGCGAAGACGTTCATTTGCTCATTCACTCAGTAATTACTTATTGAGTCTGTACTACTTGCCAAGCACTCTTCCAGTGACTGGGGATATAGCAGTGAGCAAAAGAGACAAAATTCCTGTTCCTCTTGGAGTTTTCCTTCTTGTGGCTCCTGGAAGCACCTGCATATGAAAGGGTAAGTTGAAATCTGCTGAGATATCCATAAAGAAAGACAGAGGGGTAAGGAAGTAGGTGATGCATGTTGGGAATTACAGGCAGTTCTGTGTTGATGGTGTGGAAAAGTATGACGATGGAACTCCTTCCATGAACACTGGATTATATTTAAAGAATGGATCATGATACACATGAAAAAAACAAGCCTTTATGTGTACCGGTAAAATAATTAGGTAAGATCATTTTTAAAGTGGTAGAGATTCTTATTATTAATAAACACAGTGTAGTCAAATTATAAAAATATATCAAAATGTAGACCAGATAAAATTTTCTTCATGACTTGAGCTAAATCACTCAAATATGTCCGAGATTCAGCTTTACAGCTGGTTCCACGTAGGCAATAAATAGAGAATGGCTCTACCCACATGAAGATCGTCGGTTTGTCTGGGAATCTCTTAGAGTTTAAAATATATAAACCCAAACTTACATAACTGTGTTGAAACAATGAGAGTTACCACTCCCTTTTAATTAATTAATTAATCATTTGAAAACTAAACAAACTACATAGTCATATTTTGGCCAATAAGGAAGTTTAATTCAGGAGGTCAAACATCTCAAAGAAATGTGGAATTGTAAACTTAGATATCACTCTGCTTTTCTTGGGATGTTTGCCTGTAACCTTCTTAGCACGAGCAAGAAGAAAGTATATAAAAGAATTTTAATTTTTAGCTGTAAAATATAAGCTGAGGTGGGCATAAATTTAGGAACTTTAGAAGTACAATTAAGCCATTTTTTTTTCTAAATCATAAAAGGAAGTAGAAGTAAGTTCACAGAGAACTTAAGAAAAATTGGAATTACATGAAAATGGCTTAGAAACGTGTTTGACTTGGTTTTATTATTTAGTCCATCCTGTAATGTTTATCTTCCAAAGCCAGAGACCATGTCTTGGGGAAAAAAAAATATTAAGGGGAGATTTATTGTATTTGGACGAGTCGAAGATTTAAAACCACCCCAGGACAACAGAACCCTATGGGAGTGGGGGAGGTTCTAATAAAGACAAAGAAATATTCATTCCAGAGAGAACAATTTAAAATTATTCTCGGAATGCCATCTCATCAGACAAGATTTAAACAGATGAAATTAAGCTAAAAAAAAAAAATGGATCTTAGGGAAGTCCATCTGTTATCTCTTAATGAGAATGGAGATGTCGTCCTTTATCCTCTTGTGTCAGATTCACTTAACCAAGGCTGAGATGCATCACTCTGTGTATTACACAAGTATTGAGGTGGTAATAGACCTAGCTCGCCATCACAGTCCACAGGCACATCACATTACATGAGCTGGCAGTTAGATGCCCACGTGCTAACAAGAGATTAGGCTTGTAGAGCGCGTCTCTGCTCGTAGCTGTCCCATCCTCTGCAACTGTAGCGCGGGGCTGCTATTGTTTACCACGGTGGTGAAAGTTTAAGGTAAATTTAGCTGACAATTAAACACTGGAAAAGTATTATGTAAGCCCTACGACGCCTTAAATTCTTACAACACTGAGAAATTAGGTACTATTAATATAATTGACTTGAACAACACAGGTTTGTACTGCATGGGTCTACTTATATGCAGGTTTTTTTCAGTAAATATATTTACAGTACTGTAAATGTATTTTCTCTTCTGATTTGCTTAATAACATTTTCTCTAGCTTACTTCATTTTAAGACTGTGGTGTATAATACATGTAATACAGAATGCGTGTTAAAAAACTACTGATGTCATCAGTAAGACTTCTGGTCAACAGTAGACTATTAATAGTTAAGCTTTTGGACAGTCGAAAGTGGATTTTCAGCTGTGCCGAGTTGTTGGGGATTGTTGGCGCCCCTAACCCCCCACATTGTTTAAGAGTCAACCGTATGCCTTTTTCAGACAAGAAAACACAGTTAAATAACTTGGCCGAGGTTTCACAGAGAACAAGGGTTAGGTGAGGGGGCAAGATTGGTATGCATGCCATTCAACTGCAGATTACGTGTTCTCTTTCATGGAAGACACCTCTCTTGTATCCTCTTTCCTTTCAAACTCCTGCTTAAATTGAACTTCCAGTGCTGCCACATCATTTGCTGAAGCGAGTGAATGAAGTAGTTCCTTTGTGCAAAGCAGAAGGCTGGTTTTCCGGACAGGGGTGCGGTGGAGTAAAGGACAGACACGCACCACATCGGCCCCTGCTGTTCTAGCATCTCTAGCAAGGGTAGGAGTATAGCCTAATGCCCAAAGCAGAGCTCTGGGACTGTTCAGACTGGGATTCTTTGACTATTTTAGAGATCAGGAAACTGAGGAACAGAGAATAGAGGGCACACAATAGTACATTTTAGGGGACAGCATTTTTCGGTGAAGATCACAGAGAACGTATCTTTGGCAGCTGACCCAGATCACCTCCACGGAAGAGCCCTGGCATCAGGCCAGGACCTGCTGAGTCAGGAACTCAAGGTGGCAGTTCAGGAACCCACTTTCCTGAGCTTTGCCACGTCTTCTCCACCTACCCCCCCCATCAGAGATACCTAAATGTCTAACAATACCTTGAAGGAAGACAGAGAAAGCCGAGGTGTTC